GCCTCCTGAATGAATGCCGCCAGGCGTTCCTCATAGGCCAGGAGGAATTCTCCCGCCTTCCAGTCCATGGCCTTGGTCTGTGATCGAGTGAGCAGTGTCATGCACTGCTGTGCCCGAACTCTGAAGAGTCCCCCGAGGGCCAATCTAATGGACTGGCCCGGTACCCGGACTGGGGAGGGGGAGGAACAGGTAGGCAACGGACAGGTGGGAAGGATCGGACAGATCCAAAATTGAACAGTTTCCTAATCAAAAAGGGGAAAAAAAAAATATATAATAATTTTGATTAAGAAGAAATAAAGCAAAATTCGAAAAGAAAGACTGTCCAATCCCACTGAGTGCCGAAGGTGATGCAGAAAGCAATTGTGAACCTTCGGTGCTCAAACTGCAGAAAATCAGAAAAGAAGTATCTTTACAAACTCAGAGTAGGAGTAGGTTGCAAAAAAGAAAAAAAATGCCGTTTTTTTTTTTTGAAAAAAAAGAACGGAATTTGCAGACCTACGCAGTGAAAGTGTAGAGGGACAGTTTCGGAAAAAAAAGAATCACGAAATTATCAAAATGCAGACATTTAACAATTAAGCAAGGTAAAAAAATTCGGAAAAGGAATTCTCAGAACGAAAAAAAAATTCTCAGAAACCAAATTTCGCGGAAAAATAATTTTTCGGAAAAGAATAATAATTTCTCGAAGAATTTCCTCGGAAACAAATATATAATTTCTCGGAAAAAAAAAAATTCTCGGAAAAAGAAATAATTTCTCGGAAAGAACTTTCTCGAAAAAATAAATAATTTCTCGGGAAAAAAAAAAATATCGGAAAAAGAAATAATTTCTCGGAAAGAATTTTCTCGGAGAAAGAAATAATTTCTCGGAAAAAAAAAATTCCCGGAAAAAAAAGTAATTTCTCGGAAAAAAAAAAATTCTCGGAAAAAGAAGTAATTTCTCGGAAAGAACTTTCTCGGAAAAAGAAATAATTTCTCGGGAAAAAAAAATTCTCGGAAAAAGAAATAATTTCTCGGAAAGAATTTTCTCGGAGAAAGAAATAATTTCTCGGAAAAAAAAAAATTCTCGAAAAAAGAAATAATTTGTCGAATTTTTTTTTCTCGGAAAAAGAAATAATTTCTTGGGAAAAAAATAATCAAATAATTAATTGCGGGAAATTTCCACGATTAAATAAACAATTGCCAAATAATCAATCAACCTAATTAATCAATCAATCAATCAATCAATCTCCTGATTCACTGATCAATCAATCGAAGATTGATTGGTGGCAAACCGCCAATCCAATCAATCAATTGATTGATTGGTTGTTGCCAAGATTCATCGCCAATGCTCCGATACCACTTGTAGCATATCAGAAAGTGAAATGCACTGAGAGCCTAGGATCTAGCAATGACGAAAGTGGCAACAACCAGCAGCATAGGTGCAACATCCACGAGATGTCAATGTGCACGGTGCAAAGGGTGAACCAACGAGAAATCAA